AACAGAACATTTCAACCCCACTGAATGCTTCCATCCTCTCAGCTGTGTCCTTCTGGTATCTTTTCCAGTCCTTTTTTCCAACTATGTATATATACAGATACCACTGACCAACACAACAGTCGCTAAGTGCATTTCTTCTTTATGATTGCTTGCGTTGCCCCAAAATTTTGTACTTGCCAAATAATGGCCTGCTTTTCCCAACTTTTTGCCTATTGTACAAGTTTTAGAAATCCTAATCTTCAGAGAAACTCATTATGGTAAAGAATGAGAAAAGAAAGGCAGAAATACAATTTAAATGAGCTTGTATCTTCTGCTTAAACTCCAGGAAAGAAACTCAGAAATGCAATTTCCAAGTAGAGATAAAAGTCCCATGTTATGTCTCTGTAAACCAGAAGACAACTGACACTTAGAAAGTTGTCCTATCTGCTGATGGGAACAGTGTGGATGAATCTGGCCAGTCCACTTGTACTTCTCTTTCTGAAACCAGTAATAAAGTTTGAGAGGGGTTATTTTTAAAGCAGCTCTTAAAGTGTTCCAGCTCACTACTGTCAGCTTCAGATCTCAAATGCAATTTGATTTATAATTACATTTTAAAAACTAGCATTAAAATAACATTAGAGGGGTCATAATCTGAACTTTTTAATAGTTAGGCACGTAGCATACATTTAGAAATGGATCTCCAACAGGATTCATCTGGAACATATTCTGACTGGAATTCCTTCCTTCACCCGTTTCAGTACTCTGCTGGAGCTGGTGTGCCAAGAAGCCATGGTGGAGCCCTGTATTTCAGCGTTGTTTCAAATGTTAACGGGCTGAAATACACTGCTGAACGTTTGTTAGTCAAACTCTTTTCTTGCATTATAGTCAGGCCCGTGTTTGTAAACGCCAGTGGGTGAGAACATGCTGGAGAATCTGGAATTAGGCCTCTGCACTGAAAAGTTACATGTCACATCCCTTGCTCCATTGCTTCTGAAGCAACTTTTAATTTTCTTGGCCTCTGTGGCACCGACTGATTCGAGGGCATTGACCCATTTGAGTAGTTCCCAGAGGTCAAGTTATGCTTGTGCCAGCCAAAACACACGTACAGTGAAAAAGTGGTGCTCCCAACAACTGTCAGTATTGTGTGTCAGCTGAGAACTACCTGTCCTCCCAGCTGTGCCAACAACTCACACAGGCATTCAGGGAACTTCACGACTCTGTGCCTGTAGCTGCAAGCCCGGCACCTCCTGAACACCAGAGGGGGTTCAGAGGAGGCACAGATTCCTTGCAAAATTTGCCTTGCTCTCCAAGTCCAACCTTCTGATAAGAAAACCTCCCAACTAGTCAGTTCTGCACTGATACTTAACTACAACTTCAGAGGCAAAAGGCAAACAGTTTCTGAATGCCAGTCTGAAGTAAATGAGCTGGTTAAAAAAAAAAAAAAAAAAAAAAAAAAAAAACAAAAAACCAAACCAAACCAAACAACAACCACACAAAACCTGTGCCTTAGAACCAAGTTTGAAATTTTATAGGCTTTTACTCCATAATTTGTACTTGAGCCTTCTGTTATTTTTAAACAAATCTAATTTCTTACAGCTGTGAAATTTACATTTTAAGAGTGTCTAGTGGCCATGTGCATTAATTACTTTATTGTAATATTTTAATGAGTTTGGGGTTCAACTTTGAAAGAATCCTTCTGAATCCCTGCTTCCCCACAGAATTACACTAGAACCTGATTCAATCACAACTTCATACACCCCGATCCAAATCCTGATAGACTTGCACAGTATTTTCAGTTGCCTTATGAAGTCCCCAAACTTTAAAACTGGCTCCAAATTTTAAGACTTCTTGCCAAACTAGCCCTTTCCTGAGTCAGAAGCAGAGTTAGGCTGTGAGAAAGTTTGTGTTTAGAGATGAACTTCCTGGTTGAGGCTAATCTCAACAAAAACAGGTAGCAAAATGAACAATTCAGCTGTAACAGCTAACATTTGGGCCAATCTTGTTCTTATTGACACACAATGATGCAAATGCTTCCATCCTAGCATATATGACATAAAAACTTTTAGGGTTAAAAAAATCAACCTCCCCAAGGAGTATCTAAATTCACCAGGGCAGACTGAAAAAGCACTACTGGAAGATTTCCACCTTTGTAAAATAGCTGAAAAGCATTACAGTATCCATACTTCTGCCATGGTATTCCCTTTATGGATTTTGGTGGTTTGTGTCATCCTAAATTACTTCTTCTTCATCTGTGAGTGTGCATAAGTAGTGGTGGGAGATAAGTAAAATGAATCTCTTTTTTCAGGCAGTTTTCAGTCAGGACTTAGTGTCTGTCCTTGCACTGCTGCAGGTGCAAGTACTCATCTTGGGGACTGAGGCAGAAACCTTCACACCACCAAGGATCACTACAGTTTGAAATGAGGAGATAAACCTTCTTTCAACACCTAGTGCACTTTAATTCCCTATGAATAAGCTAAAGAAGCAAATCTGAAACACACTGAACAACGGGTTCAAGTACAAATACAGATAAATGCAGGAAAAGTGGGACTGACTGTGTTAGTTGACTGTGATAACAGCAAGAGGTTCATCAGTTGTCAAGTGCCACCACACACGCTGCACCCACAGAGTCATGCTTGGAAATCTGACCATTTCTGTCCCCAACTCTCACCTCTCTTGGCTGGGGCAAATGCAGAATTGCAACTCCAATGAGCTACCCAGCTTTTTAAAAAGCATGTTTTTAAACCACTTACAATAAGAGCAACAGTTATTATTCAGTACATGCTTTTTATCAGATTGAAGATAAACTTTATTATAACTGGTGGAGATGGTATCAATGATTTGTGGTCTCTGTGAATTCTGTAATGAGAAATGGTAATCTGTCTTGGGGCAAACAATATTATTCTGTTTACTACGCAATTAGCAATATTAAGTCATGATTCTATAACTGATAGCTGAAAATAGGGGTGGTAAGAAGAAACTGGAAGCACTGGAAACTGTCACAGGACAAGTATCTGAGGACTATAAACTATTTACGGTGCTTTAGCCTGACATTCCCTCTTATCCTCCAAAAATCTTCCTCACTGCTCCAGAGATGTTCACTGTAAAAGTATCAAGATTGTAAGTGGTTTGGGGCAAAGCCAGAATCTCGCTTTGTTGCGAATACTGAACATACAGTATAGTGCAGGAATTTCATTTTCAGAAAAGCAGCAATAAAGTAGCAAAAAATTCGCAAAAAAAGAGTTTTACTTTGGAAAGGCATGATAATGAACCAAAAAGTACAACAAAAAGAGGTGAGACCTAATCTCTGATTCCTGGCATATTTGGTGTACAATCAAGACAGAGTACTTTCCTGCACTTAATCTCTTCTTTAATTTTACAGACTGAGCCCCGTACCTTTGTGTGACCAAAACCCTGTACTTCTTGTTTACTCTTAGATCAGCCTTAAGCTACCACCATATGGAGCTGGGAACACCACAGACAGAGCAGAAACAGTCCTTAACTAATGGTCAGAGTAAATTGTGTTGGGAGTCAAGTGGGGCCACTCTCAAGTGGCTGGTTAAGAAAAGGGCTGACCTATAATGGAGCTTCTCTGCAAAACAATAATTTTTTACTTTATGTTATAAAGTACAGAACTGTAACTATGATCAATGACAGAAATCTCACAGCCTTTTCTAGTCTGTTCCTTAGCCATACACATGTAGTCCAGCCCTTTTGGCAAGGATTATGAGGTTACCTCAACAGGAACTCAGAGCTACAGCACAGACTTTCATAGTGAACAGGCAAGACCTATAGCGTGCTGGGGTCTTTCCTGCTAAATTGATCTTAAAAAAAACCAACAAACCAAATTATTACTCCCTTTAAACTAGCCCATTCCATTTGTAGCTCTCTGGAAACGCAATGCTCCATGGAGAGCTCCACTGCACCCAGCAGGCAAAAGCCACATTTAAGGCAGCATGACGCACCAGCACTGTGCAACCGGGATGCTACAAGGAAGTGACTGCTTCTGGCAGCCTCACAGTCCCTCTCCTGCACCTCTTGCCCTTAAGGATCAGTGCCTTAAATTCCCATATA